TTTTTCTATTTCAATTTCAACCTGTGTGGGCAAACACAAAAAAAATGAAAAGCTATCTACATTTCTAGACAAAATAAACGTGTGACTAATTATGTCACATTCATTGCTTAATTCAGGGCTTTCTGACAGCAGATGTAAACAGGACTAGAAAGGGGGTTTCAGTTAGGAAGGCAAATGACACCCACAGTCCTGAGAGCATCTCCGTTGTCCCAAACTAGTAACTAATTGCAAGGCTGTTTGAAAGTGATCACCCACACTTGGTTAGCAGGTAAATAAAGTCGTAATCCAGGATGTAAAGAACTTGTACTTAGCAGTTGTTTCCTTTGTATATATGTATACACAAAGCAGATTTTAATGAAAGGAAATTTATTACCTGCTCACCCCAGAGTGTTTAACTCTCTAAACTCTTAATTCTATGGGGCTACATTTGAATAATTGAGTATAATGAAAAAAATTAAAATGTTTAAAATAAGAGCTTCTTATTAAAATTAAAGGGCTTCTTACACCTAAGGACATCTTAGTAGGATTTCAGCACACTCTTGGTAGTGCCAACCTTTTTGTTTTTCCTGTTGTTACTCGCATAGTAAGACATTGGATCAAAATGTCATTTAAATAAGGCACCTTGTAAATAAAAATGAAAGTTAGCTCACCCACACCTATTTTTAACTAGTCTTTCCCACATTATTCCTCATCCTGGATGAGTTTCTATCTTCAAGGCCAAGTTACAAGTTCTGAGCAACAGATTTTCCCATTACCTTAGTCCTCTTGAAAATTTTTGCCCCCAAGGGATGTTAAAGATATTTGGGTTTAGGAAAATTAACTTTCCTGCTATAGAGTGGTAACATCTGTACATTTTTTTTACCCAATTAAGATCTCCAGTAAGTGGGTCTATGGGTCTCTATATGGGTGAGATCATTATGCCCCTAACCCAAACTCTCCATCTAGAATCTTCAACCAAGGCTAACAGGTATATCATGCAACTTAAGTTTAAGCTTTAAAAGAGATAGAGTAATGCACAGTCTCTTTTTTATTGTTTTCCCCTTTTAAGGTAGATGATGACTTCATTAAAATCTGCCTCTCACCCATTCTGGGACTCCTGGGATGGTGTGAGAAAGGTCCTGTGGTATTGGAGACTGGGAGTTCACAGAGGGCAGGAAGGTGTTCCCATAGATGGGCCAACCTATCAAGAGTCAGGAAAGATGAATAAAGGTGCAAAAAGTCCCAACTGCCCTCACACTGTGGTTTTAAGTAGATGCTTAAACAGCATCCCAAACCACCGGCTCAATATATTGGGTCCAAAAACATTGACCAGTGTATCCCCAGGTTCTGTTTGGATTGGACCGTGTCCTACATAAAAAACAAAGTATTTTAAAATTAGTTGATGGAAATTAAATAGGGGGATTTCATATGCAGTTAATTCCTTGGCTCCAAGTTTTCTAAAGTGAAGTTTTACTAAAACATTTGTGTTGGTTTAGAACGTAAGTTTAGGAGTACTTGTGGTTGAAGTTACTAACTAGTGAATATGACAAGAAAAAAAATGCAGGTGATCACTACATTAGATTTTTAAGAACTTTATGGTCCTAAATAATAGAACCTTTTTACTAGGGATTAATGGGGATGAGGAAAGGCTTTTTTAGTCCCACAGCACAGACTTCAGGTCACAGTCATTTGCAACAACAATTTCAGTTATTCTGTTAAATAAAGTGCAGAATGTGCTTTAAAGACAGAAAGAACCATGGAAGCACTAACTACTATTATTAAAGCCTCACAGCCAAGGTTTCTGTTTCATTGGAAACCTATTTATTGTTCCCTAGGCAATATAAAAATATTATATTTTCTCTGGGCTCTTACAATGACTCCAATTAATGAAAGGCCAAGAAGGACACTCTTGTCCAAAAACTGGATTACATCACTAAGGGTGATGATATTTTTAAGATTCTAAGTTATAGCGAGTGTATTGCTTCTAAAAGCAGACAAGGCATTTTTACTCAGACAATGCCAAGGAACACATCCACCCGTCAATATGAAGCTCACAAGCCCATAAAATTCAAACCCTGACATGTGAATTCATCTATTGTTGTAAAATATGCAGTGTTGGGAAGAAGAGTTGCTAGGCCACCCCTGCGGGGTAGCGTGTGACACCATCTGTTTAGCCAAGTTGTATCATTAGGTGACCTAGTGTTTTAAGTTAGGGGTGTGTTATTTTCCCAACTTGCTGGCTTTGGCATGAAGCAAGTCACCTGAGCCAGAGACCTGTGCCCCCCTGGGCATTTTATACCCTTTGCCCCTCTGAGGAGCCGAGCCGAAGTTTCTACAACTTCCATCCCTTTCTGAGCTAAATGAGAGGTTCCTTGCACTGGAAAACCCTCTAGTCCAGACTGTTCCAAGAATTATGCTAATGATTGCTCTAGTCTCAAAGCATAAAGCAGGTACTTAAAATGGTCACCAACCTATTAGAATAAATTACTGATTTATATGAAAAGGTCACACATGGTAGCTTCCAAATCTGAATGGCTTTTTAAATAAAATTAAAACTTTTAAGGCCCAGGTATGCCAAATGTTGGACTGAAAACTAGACGGTGTCAGCTCACCACACCAATTAAGTAAAATCTCATCTTTCACTTTGTGTCGAGTGAAAACAGAAAGCTGAACAGACCACAAACGAGCTTGTGTTTCAGAGTTCTGAGTGTCATTTGCTTACCTATAAACCCTGATTCCACCTGCTGTCATTTATTTACAAAGTAAATGATTTGTCCATCAGTGGATGGTCATAATAAAATATAGGTGAAATGTACACTTAAAAATATTTTTTTTACCCTCAAGGATGGCCTGCTAGGTTAGAGGTTGAAATGACTAAAGTCTGACCTTGCTGTTTACATTTCTTGGACAACAGTCCCAATTGTACCTTGCCTGGAATGAGTGTCAGTATATGACATAGGACTGCTTTGCTCCTTTTTGAAGTTCAGGTGTGATACTTATCTTAAAGGGTGAAGGTGGTCACCCAGCTCTGGGATTTCCAAATAAGGAGACTCTTCATTTTATTCACTGTAGTAATGTGTAGGTACTGGCATAAGTATCAAGGTTTTATCGGTTACTATTTACCTTGTTCCTCTTAAATATAATGTATTTGTGTTTTGTCACATTAGAAGCAGGAAGGAAGATGCTTTTGAACAAACGGAGCATAACAAAAATTTCTGGCCTGTTCCCCCTTGTTATAAGTCTTTATCAATTTTGTAAAACTGACAATCAGTCAACTAATCAAATTCAACCAAGTTTTTATTCAATATATATAAAGATATAAAACTTGGGCCCTGTCTTCAAGTGGTTTTCTTGCAGTCGGGGAATGACTAGGAGTCATCATCTCTTCAGACTGTAGTGAAATTATTGGTTGTGAGGCGACTGACCAGTACACGCAGGTCTATTGGTTCAGTATTTTTCCCTGCTTTTCTTTAGGTGAAAAGCACCAACCTGCAACAGTGCTTTCTTTGAGCTTTCCTCAAAAGAAGGTGTTAATTTTGTGCAGAAGAGAGGCCATAATCCAAAGCGTGATAAAGAACTTCAGTTTGGATTGTGGGGAGCGGAGGGCCAGAGCAGCAACTTTTCAGCAGAGCTGGAGAAACGGGCAGGCCTGCCCTGAGGTGAGGGAGCAGCTGCAGTTTGAAGGGTCTGGCAAGCAGCATTCACTTCCTGGCCTCAATTCCCAGTGTTCTCTGGAGACTTGCAATCATGCTCTGTGGTCTTTCAGATCCTCAGAAAAGAGGCCTTGTAGAATGGAGGCAGGAGTGTACCTGGTGGGCCAAGAAAAATGTATGTGACATCGTCGTCTGTCATATCTTTTCTTCCTTAGCATTGAGCAAAGAGGGGAGGGGGCAGGGGGGAAGTCCCCTCTCAATTGCCCTGTTGAGTGGTTAACTGTCTTTCTATTTTCAAAGAAAACTTCAAAACTCTTGACTCTCTCAAGGCCTCTGGAAGTATCAATCACCCCTTTCCCCCTAGATAGGTAAGGTGTGATTCTGTTTACAGGGAGGCTTCCTTCCTTTGTTTTTATCCTCCAAACAGCCCCAGTGTTACTGACTGCTGAGAAGTCAAGGTTAAAGGTGGGAGAGAGTTCATGAAAACTTTGTCCACCTGGGTTTAGGGCAGGTAGGCCTTTGACACACCAGAGGTAGTAGCCATGTCTTAGCCTGATTCCCTGGCTAGTGTGGCTCACCTGGGCACAAGGTGGGCCTCCCGAACCATTTATTGAATGAATTATACGACTGAATGAATGAATGAACTGTACTCAAGCAGACGCACCCGCGGCCCACAAGGTCCCGGAAAAAGTGAGCAGCGGCCGAGTTGAGAACTTTGTGTCGCTGCTCTTAACCTAGTGTCCTCTTCACATCCTAGTGCGGGACACTTTAGAGTTTTTAAACAACTCTCAAATTCGTGTTCAATTAACGACTTTTCCCTCTGTTCCAGAGACCCTCGTGGCGCTCGGGACGGGCCACTGATAACCGGCCCGCCACCTTCCCACCTGGGGGGCAGCGAGCACACACCCCGCACCAGGGTCACCGCCGCCGGCTCCCGCGTCCCGGGCGTGCCGCCTGCCGCCTACTTCTCCCGGCCGTGCTAGTTTCGCGCTCACAGCCCCTCTCATCGGATGCGAACCCCTTTCAGTCGTCGTCGCGATTACTTGGACTCGCCGACACCTTCCTCCGCGGGCGCGCGCCGCCGGGAGGGAGGGGCGGGTGGCCGTGCCGCGTGCGCTACCCGGGAAGCTGGAGGTAAGGAGGCGCGCGGCGGGGGTGAGCGCCGCCGTCGCACACTTTGCACGCCGCCCAGGGCTACACCACTCGCCGAAAATTGGGAGGCAGGTCTAGGAGGCGGGGTCCATTGCCCACCACCTTGGGCGCTCCGATGCCCCCCGCAGCCGTGCCCCACGTGCCACTCCGCGGCGCCCCCAGCCCGGCCCGCACCCCCGGGGCATGTGGCGGCCAGTTAGGACACGTCCCCGGAGGGCCAATTTTTCGGCTTCCCCTTCGGTTTATAGGGGCAGCCGCTGTGGGTCGGTCCTCTGAAGAGGCTGGGGCGTCATCGGGCTGGTTAGGAGCGCCGGTCTGCGGCGGGGACACTCAGTCGCGTCGGCACCGCGGAGCGGGCTGCGTCAGGTGGCCGGCCCGGCGCGCTGGCTGGCTGGCTGGCTGGCTCTCCCTCCGGCTCGGGCTGCGGCGCCGGCGGAGCGGACCCTGTCCGGCGCGGCGGCGGGCGGCCGGCGGCGGGCACTGCCTTGCGTGTGAGTGCACCTCACTCACATGTAAGTCTGGCCGCACCGTGGCCCCCCGCGGGAGGGCGAGTCGCCCGGCGCGGGCAAGAGCCGCCGGGGCAGGGGCGCCTGGCGCTGCCGCCCTGCCCCGCGCCGGCCGGGCACCCCCCAAATCTCTCCTCTCTTCTCCTCTCCATTGGCGTGCCCAAGAGCCAAACCGAGGAGCGCCCGAGGGTAACGGCAGACTCGTGCCATCGTGCCTCTGCGCTCTTCTTTTTTGAGTTGTTTGACATCTCTCGGTGCTTTTTGGTTTCTCGCTGTTGTTGGGTGCTTTTTGGTTTGTTCTCGCCCCCTTTTCGTTGCTCATCCTTTTTGGCGCTCACTCGTAGGTAGCCTGCCCAGCAGCCCGAAGCCCGGGCCGCCCTGCTCCGCAGGGATCACAGCCGACTCCCCCCGACACGGGGCGCACGGGGGCCGGCCAGGCCGAGGGCAAGCAGGGCGCCCGGGCCAGGCGCGCGCCGGGCACCCCAAGGTGGCCGAGCCACCATGCTGAAGATGGCCATGAGGATCAAAGCCCGGGCGGCGGAGCGCGAGAGGAAGGCGGCGGCGGCTGCGGCCGGGGTGGCTGCCGAAGCTGCAGCGGCGGCTGCGGCGCTGGCCGGGCCGAGAGAGCCGCTCGCCGCGCGGAGGAGCGCGGACTCCGAGAGGACCCCGAAGAGCGCGGCGCGCGAGGCGGCCCCCGAGAGGCTCCTGACCGAAAAGGGGCGCAAGAAGCTGGAGAAGAAGCTGCTGGAGCAGCGGAGGAAGGAGGAGAGGAAGCAGGAGAAGGAGAGGAAGAGGCTGGAGAAGATGCAGAAGAAGAAGAAGAAGAAGGGGGCGCCCGGAGCCTCGGAGGAGGCCCACGGCCCGGAGGCCGCCGCCGCCGCCGCCACCGACGAGGGCGCCGCGGAGGGCGCCGGCGGGGTCGACGAGGGCGCCGGCGGCGCGGGCGCGAGTAGGGCCTGGGCCGCGTGGGCCGCGGACTCGGGCGACGAGGACGACGCCTACTACGCGGTGCCGCGTGTCGGGGGCGTCGTGTGGCGGCCCGGGCCGCTGAAGGCCGGCGCGCTCGGCGCCCACCTGCCCCTCGTGGTGTTCCTGGTCTTCTCCGTGCGCAGCCCCTCGTGGGTGCTCAACTTCCTGCTGCAGAAGCGCACGGAGCAGGGCCGCGGCTGCGGCTTCGTGTTCGGGGCGACCTGCTGCTTCCGAGTGTTCCTCGGCTGCGCCTTCTTCTCCTACTTGGGCGGCCGCGCTCGGCGCCGAGGGCGCGGGCGCGCGGGGACCCCGGGGGCCTTCAGCTCGGGCCGCGGCGCCCGGCGCCGGGGGCGCGACGAGCGGCTCATCTAGCCCAGCCCCGCGCCCCCCGCCCCCGCCACCGGACACCATCGCTGCGTAGTGTGGAGTTTTATTCAGTATTTGTGCGTGTGTGTGGACACATTTTCCTTTTCGGTTGCTCTGTCCTTCGCTTCGTGCTCGCCTCGCTTTTTCCGCACGCCCTGCTCCCCGGCTCTCTCTGTGTCTCTCTCTTCTGTTCGAAAATTTTCCGAAGTCCGGGCTCGGGCGCGCGCTCCCTCCCCTTCCGCCCACCCCGGCCCCTCGGCGGCGCCCGCGGGAGGTGGGGGGGGCCGCGGCCTCGGGGCCGCAGGGCGGCGCGGCCCGGGGGGTGGAGCGTTGGCGTCGTGCGAGGGGTCGTCACTGGCCCGGAGCCGCCCCCTCTCCCCCCGCGGCCCGCCGGGCTGGGGCCCGCGCCGGGGGGCGAGGGGGCGGCTCCCCGGGCCGGCCCGGGCCGCGCGCGGGCGGAGGAACCCCCCTTCCCGGGCACCCCGAGGGGGCGCTCCCCCCCGCCCGCGCCCGCCCTCCCCGCCGCCGCCGCCGCCGCGGCCGCTCCTCAGCCCTCCGCCTCCTCCTCCCGCCCCCCTCGCCGCCGCCGCCTCCTCCTCCCCCCGCCCGCCGCGGTGCTTTTGGGTCGGGGCGGCGGCGGGGCCCGGGCCGAGGCAATAAGAGCGGCGGCGGCGGCAGCGGCGGCAGCAGCTCCCGCGGCTCCTGCTCTGCTCCGCCTCGGCCCGGCGGCGGCCATCACCCCCTCGGCCTCGGCGCGAGGGGCGGGGAGCAGCTGCGCGCTGCCCTCGGTCCGAGCGACACCACCCTCCCCGCGCCCGTCCGCGCGCTCCTCCCCGAGAAGCCGAGCCCGCGCCCGGCCCGCCCGCCCGGCGCTGCCCCGGCCTCCCGGCCCGCGTGAGGCCGCCCGCGCCCGGCCCGCCGCCGCCGCCGCAGCCCGGCCGCGCCCCGCGCCCCGCCGCCGCCGCCATGGGCTGCCTCGGCAACAGTAAGACCGAGGACCAGCGCAACGAGGAGAAGGCGCAGCGCGAGGCCAACAAAAAGATCGAGAAGCAGCTGCAGAAGGACAAGCAGGTCTACCGGGCCACGCACCGTCTGCTGCTGCTGGGTAAGGGTGGGGCGGGGGGCGCCGGCCGCGGCCCGGGGCTCCTCGGGGCGCCCCGCAGGCCGCGCGCGCCGAGCCCGCCCCCCGCCCCGGGCGCGCGCTCCCGAGCCCGCCGCCCGCCTCGCGGGCTCTGTCTCTGGGGGGCGAGGCCGGAAGGGGGACCCCGGGGCGGAGGTCAAAATGGGGCGAGGGGCCCCCTCCCCTGGCCGCCCGCTCGCCGGCGCGCTCGCCCTCCCTTCGCTCTCTTCGCTCTCCTTCTCCGCGAGGCCTACGCGACGCCAGGGGCTTAGGTGCATGTTGGGGAGGGGGAGGGGGAGCCCCACGGGGCTCGGGAGACTGCGACAAAAAGAGGGTTTCGGGGACAGGAAATGGGGTGGCGGGTAGAGGGGGGGGGACCCGCCTCCGTGGGGTGTGTGATTTGTTGGGACAGGGACAGGGAGAGAGAGACGAGGAGAGGAGGGGGTGACGCGGGGGGTGCGCCTCGGTGGCGGAGGGGGCCTCGCCTAGGGGCGGCTTTGGCGAGGGAAGTGGCCGAGGAGAGTGGGGGGGCGAGTGACATCAGCCCCTCGGAAGGGCTCGGAGCGGTAAAGGTGGTGCAGTGAGGGGGAGGGGGCGCGGGCGAGTCGTGGCGCCGGAGTGGGGGGTGCGGGGCGGAGGGAGCTCGGCGGCCGCTGGGCGCGACTCGGTGCGTTCGGGGCAGGACGGGCTGTGCGCGGAGACGTGTCCCGGGCTGGGCCGGGCGGTGGAAGGAAAAGGATAATCAATTAAAATAAGACCCCCACTCCCTCGAAAAAATGGAGTTAGGACTCTGGAGTGCCCAGCGAAGCCAAATGACACGTCATTTTTACAGTATGACCTTTTTTTCCCCTTCCAGACATGCAGGCTTTTTAAAAAGCAAAGAAGAGAATTAATTGTAGCAGCTGCCCCCCCCACCCCATAAACCATTAACACACACACGTTTTCCTGTTAGTTGGCCACATTGAGAGTGCCTTGTGAAGAAAAAAAAAAAAAAAGACATTCACAAATCAGAACTGGAAAATGACATTTGTAAATGGCTTCTAGGTCTGGAAATGGCGTTTTTTTTTTGTTTTTTGTGTTTTGTCCTGTTTAAGGTGGGGAGGGTGGTTGGGAGCGCTTTAAGGAGAAGATTTTTTCCAGGTGGAAGGAGATGAAAAGACATTAATTAGTTGTCAAGTGACATTTGGTTGTTTGGTTTGGGGTTTTCTTTTGATTGCGGTTTTTCCTCTTAGGGAAAAAAAAAAAAAAAACAAAAACAAAAACCCGGGTTGGGTAGAGGGGTTGTTAACTAAGGAGATGGCCTTTCCTCCTTTCTTATTAAAGGTGCTTTGGGGAAAAACAAAAACATAAAAGAAATTGTTGAAATGACCAGAAGAATTACACAAACAATTAGTATGGAAGTTTTCCACTTCCTTATTAATTTGGCTGAGTTAATTTGTGAATTGGCTGGATTAAGACCTAGTTCATGGTCATATTTCAACAAAACAGCTTTAATTATGAAGAATAAAATGTGAAAGCTGGTTTTTTCTTTGTGGTGGTGTTTGGGTTTGCTTTTTTTTTTTGAGTGGGGGTCATGTCTTTGTTCTGGGCACAGATACATGTAAAGCAGCAAATTATTAAGTGAAAATAAGTATCTTGTGTTTATGCATTTGCAATTTCAGTAATTAAATGGCGTATGGTGAAGTCTTCTCTAAAACTTCTGAAGGTAGAGTTATGTTCTGTGATTATTAATATGCACATGATTTGATTGCCAAGTTGTAAACCTGGAAAAGCCTAGAATCTTCCCAAAGAATGCTAACTTGCTGAGTACTAATTTAACACAAGTGTGATGCTAACGGTACCTTGAATTTCTAACACCTTTGAGCAATGATTACAGTCTCCACTTAATTTGAAACTGTTACTCTGAACACACCTTGCATCACCACGGACTAATCTTCCCCAGGTGTACTAGTCTATATGGCTACATTTTATCATGATGTATTTGATAGCCTCTGGCACAGGTTTGCAGCCCAACCTGCACCACACAGTTTGCATTTTTAAATGGTGATTCTCACCAAATAATGCCTCCTCCGCCAAGAGGAAACATAATAATACTCAAAATCCTCTTTTTAATCCATCTTAATGACATCAAAACTGAGTGAATTACAGTACCACAAAAGATATTGCAGTAATTTTTTCAGCTCAGTTTTCTAGTTTCTTACATGTGGAAACTGAGGCACAGATCTGCCTGTGCCTGTAAAAGAAGGATGTTACACATTTTAAGACTTCCCAAATAATATTGGAGATTCTGATTAATATCATGAGTTCTCTCAATGGAATGTCGTGATAGTGCCTTGAATATTTTAATAGGAGACAGGCTCATTAAGAGAGAGTGCTTGCTTTGAAATCAATGTTTCTGTGGAAACGAATTGTAACTTTACAGATATTGATTATGCCTTGTGAAAAGGCAGGAGGAGGAATGCTTGCTCTCTGGGCAGCAAAACAAAACAGTTAATAAAACTTAAAGTGAAAAAGGGGTAAAGAAAACAAACAGGTTTGTGTGGGAGGAGGGCAAAACATTGTTCATGCGAGGGTTATTGGAGAGTGTGCATTTGCAAAAAAGAAAAATGAAAAATAGCAATCTTCCCCCTAGCTAGGTGGATATGTTTTTTTTATAAAACATTTTTACAAATGAAAGGTGGTTTAAAATGGAGACTTGTGTCCCTTCTTACCCTGCCAGTTAAGGAGGGGTTGGAATCTGAAAATGCAATGGTATCCAGGAATATTTTTCTTGATGATTAAAGTCCTGTCCTTTTTAATACCTCCTACCAGTTGTTGCTGTGTGTTAACAGGGTTGCTGTCAAGCACTGTTTATGATATTAAAATGTGCTTTTCGAGATATCAGAAAATTGATGGTATTCCATATTCCCTACCGTCCCCCCACATCCCATGGTTCTATCCAGAGACCATTTATCTTAAGAAAGATACAGTTCACAAGAAAAGGAGGGTGGATAAGTGGATAAAATGTAATATTGTGGATTTAGGGGTTGATTTTTAAGTAGTCCAAGGGGGTGGTGGGGGAATCTGCACAAAAAGAAGCTGCATTGTGAAAATATTTAGGAGGAAGTGCTGTGTCAGAACGTGATCTGGAGGAGACTGCGGTGTCTGGGCATTGTTTGTAAATCCTGGGTATTTTAACCATGAAACATCTGACAAACAATGAATTATGTGGCTCTGTACATTGACGTGTAAATATTACTATTTCAACCATTAAGCTTCATAGTTTTAAGTTCAATCCCCCCATGACACATTGCGTCATTCCTTCTATGCCCCTTTGCATCCCCACCTAACAAATTTTACAACCCCCCTCTCCCCCAGAAAAACTTGCAGACAGAAAAACCTTTAATTCTTGTTTGTTATTCTAATGGTGAAATACTGCAGGTATACACAGAGTTGGGTATATTTCTCTGCGCCGAAATGTCGAGGAAAATTGCAAACCTATTATTTTGTTTGTTTTTTGCGTGCTGCTTCTATGGAAAAAAGAGCAAGCTGTACTCTCCCCGCCCCAAGTGTGTAAAATGCCTCCTTCATAACCTGAGACTTACTTTCATTTTCTAGGTGCTGGAGAATCTGGTAAAAGCACCATTGTGAAGCAAATGAGGATCCTGCATGTTAATGGGTTTAATGGAGAGTAAGTGTCAAATCTGTGCTAGGGCACAGTAAGAGGAACAAATTTTATACTAACCTTTTAGGAAGTTTAGGTAGGTTTGGGGGGGGGGGGCTGGGCAGCCAATTTCCACTTAATTTTTTCAGCCTGCATATTAGAAAATCCTGGGACTAGCTCTTCAGGGATTCCCCCTTCCCTCCTTTCAGTCTTGATGCAGCAATAAATAATAACGAAGCACCAATGTTCTTGTAAAACGTCTCCCTTGTCTGTGAAAACAGTGCTTGGCCGGCCCCTCTCGGGGTCTGCGCAGAGCTGCGCACAGATTTTCTTTCAGTGGGTCTCCAACATGGCTGATGGGGCTGTGCCACCCCAGTTCCCCATCTTGCCCAGCGATGCTGACCTCTGCAGAGAGGGGTTTCTCCCCCCATCCCTGCCCCACCTCAGGCAGATTTCAGCGCAGTGCACCAGTGCAGGGTGTTTTAAACTACTAGGGAAATATTTCAATGATACTCTGATGTAAAGTTGCAAGAGGCAGCCCTTGTTAATAATTTATCACCTCATTCTCCCCCCACCCCCTCAATTTGGAATTAACATCACGGGCAAATCTTTGTTTCCTTTTTTAAAACTCATTAGTCTTGCCTAAGTAAATGAAAAGGGAAATTTAAGTGATGGAAAGACTGGAAGTTAGGTACTTCCGGCCAGATCAAGGGATGTTTCTGCCTTTGAAAAGACCTTCCCGGCATCTTGGCTCAGGACAATGAAGATACCGATACCGCAATGAGAATAAAGATTGAGAGAGAGTGCGCGGATGTCAAGGTTGTAAAAGGAAAATACAGGGTAGGGCTCGTCGTGAAGAGGCTAACGGGGGAGTGCCGCCTATAAGGGAGTTTGCTTTCTCCCTCTGACTCCGATAGGCCCCTCCGTCATTCTCATGTGACAAAATGTGTGAAACACAAAAGCTAAGTTTACCGAGCCTCCAGTAGACTGGTGTAAGAGCAGTTAACCTCACTAGATCACAAACTCCTGAAGGCACTAGTTTGCAGTTACTAGCTGGTTAGTAGTCCATTCCCTTTCTTAAACCTGCATTCAGTTGAGAATTTGTGCCTCAAAGGCATTCATTCCCTTTAGTTTCGAAAGGGGAGATTGAATCACCACAGCATAGTTTAATTCAGTTATTCCCCCCAAACCCCCAAAACAAACCAATAAAATGCCACTGTCGCCCATTACGTGCACTAAGCACGGGGGAAACATGAATTCTATCACCTTTCCGAGGTAAAAGAACTGCCCTTCTGAAAGCAGCTCTTTATGGAAAATTCTAGAATTTCTTAGATCAAATAATCGGGTAAGAAAGGATGACATCACTCATACAAGTGGCCATTTTGGTTTAGGATGCTGTTACGTTCTAACTGAACTCAGAAGGATGGTCTATTTTACCAATCTTCTGAATGACTCAATGAGTTATTAATATGCACATATATGCTGTTAATTAAATAACTCACCTTCATTTGTCACAAGCCAATTCTGAATTCTTAATTCCTGGCCCATACCCTTCAAATAAAAATAAAGCTCTGCCACCAGAGATTGCCATCAGTCAACAAACAGAAAGCCTGAAACAGACTTTTTTAGCTGTGAATTTGTAATTTAAAGAAAAAAAAATCCTGCGTAATTTTTTCCCCTGCAACTTTCCAGGGAGTTACTTCTTCATGGGGCTAGTTAAGCAAAAATAATTAGACCAGTACCCTCTAGATAAATATTTTTTATTAAAACTGGACATGGCTAGCATTTTTAAAAAGATGCAGCAGCCCCTGTTTACCTTAGCTTGAGTCCAGTGGAAGACAGGACATCCTTGAATGAATATAGTTTTATAATGTACAGGTGACCCTAAATTTATTTTAATTTTTAGAGAAAGCATTCTCCCTTAAGTGAGCAAGTCTGTAATGCACACAAGGCATTCAAAACCAGAACTTCTGTTTTCTATTTTCTTTTTAAAAAGAGGAAGCCACATTCCCAGTTTGCCTGCCTTGTACAGGAAGCCATAGGTAATCTCCAAGGATGTTAAATTTAGCCAGTGAAAGTGACATACAGGGGAATTCTTCATGTGAGTCTAGAAACCTTATTTTTATCTCATCCAGCTGAGCCTCCTCCTTTTTCCTCACTGCGGTATTGCAACAAAAGAGGTTTCCTTCACTAGAAATTCCCAGTGAAATGGTGACATCCATCCACTAAAGGGTGTTTGGCGTGGTGTAGGGCCTTTTTCTCCTCCCATAAACGTGCGCTTCGTTAGGGCTGCGCTGAGCTATTAAATTTGCCTTACTATCCGCAGACTGCCGTGCCGATTACATTTTTATAGTAACGTGCAATATTAATGTGACCTTCAGAAATGTAGAGGTCAAGTGCGGATTTTCCTAACTCAAAGCTAACTCTTCCTTACATATAGTGCCCGAAAAAAAATAAGTGCAATTAACACTGGTTGAGCTAATAAGCTAATCAATTACAAAACCACCTAGAAGGCTTAGCTATCCTGTCCTTCCCACCTTCAAGGAGGAATTCTTAACCATTTTTTTGAGTGGGTTTGGGTTTTTTTAAATTATTACTACTATTTTGGCTATCTCACAGTCCAGACATAGTTTTAATTGGTGGCAACTGATGGGAAACACTTACATATACATAACATTTTATAGGTAATTTTCCTGACGTCAGAAAAGGAGGAAATTAATATTGCACTAGGAAATCACAGGCAGAAATCACCCATGTCTATGCCTTTGTGTGTTCAGATAGACAACATGGTGAAGGCTGAAATCTGGGAGAATTGGGAGCCTCACGCACAGCTGTATTCTCAAAGGAATTGTGAGATAAATCACTGCGTTAGCTCCCTAATGCGTGTACATTTGGTGAAGGCACAAGAAAATAATTATCTCTCCCTCCTGTACCCGATCAAAGTCTCAGAAGGCTCAGCTAATACTGCAGCAGAGGTGTGGAATTCTCCCTCTACGGCCTGCAGTCTCAGTAGACATTCCAATTTAGCCAGAAAGGCGACCTAAGAATTAGCGGGAGGATGGCGGCCATTTGTTGAGGAATGTAGAAAGGCTGTGTGGGTTTTTGTGAAATTGAAGTGCCTTGCAGATTAGGTGAGCTTTCAATCTCTCTTTAAAAGGGGCGGCGAAGAGGACCCGCAGGCTGCAAGGAGCAACAGCGATGGGTAGGCACATTCAAAAACAGAAAAACTTTGTTAAAAAACAAACATGAGGATGATACTGGGAAACTGAGGGCAGAGACCTGGGAAGACAACAAAAGCCCTTTAGGGGCGATCCAGCCATCTTGGTATATGTTTGCACATGACACATAAGCAATTTCTTAACATTCCCCCCACCCCCACCCCCCGGCCATCCTTTAATTTGGTCCAGCTGGGGGAAAGTTAGATTTCAGCATGAGACCATTAGTTTAGGGTTTCAAGAATCGATGTTTTTCTGTATGGTTTGTTTTCCCCAGTCTCCATTTGAATTGGCTACTTGTTTTTTAAAACTATCTCCTAAATTCCATCTACCCAGTGGCCGGTGTGATTTTAAAATTTCAGACCTGTTTGAAAAAAAATTTTTTCTAATATTCAAACACATGGTGCTGCACTGTCCTTACTTTCTGGGGAAGAAGGAAAAAAAAAAAAAACCGCTGCAGCACCTTGCGGGAGGTTATCGTTAAAGAATGATCTCAAAAAGATTCTGGTCTTTTGAAAATCATCGCACTTACATCAATCCAAGGCACTTTGCATCGGCTAGTGAACAGGAAGTGCTTGCTGGCTTCCATCGTTTTCCCCGTTCATCGTCCGTTTTTTTCTTTGCTGCTACATGCCCACTCCCCATCACATGCGCGCTTGCACACGCACACACGCATGCCAGGCACCCCGCTCTAGCTCTGCTTGCACATTCAGCATGCAGTCATGGAGCGGCTATTTCTCATGAGAACATGCAGCGCTGATGGACCTAGCCCAGGCCATCTCAAAGAAACAGCGCCTGTGGCTGGGGAGGGGCGGGGCAAAGGATATTGGGGTCGGGACAAAGCAACTGACACATGTTTGTTCATCTGTTTTTTTTAGAATGTATTACCCCTAGATGATGGCTACAGTTTCTCATCTTCCCGGCCATGTCCTATCACACCTTGCATGCTGGAATTAACCCGTCTTAGAAACTTCTAATAAGAATACTATTCTGTTGTGGGGGGAGGGGAATGGGGCCCTGCCACCTAACCTATAAAGATAACTGGAAAAAAAAAAACAACTAAAAAACTAAAAAACAAAACAAAAAAAAACACCCCAAAAGTGAAATCCCTAACTGGCAAAAATGTAGTGTACTGAACCAAAACAGGCATCTTCGTAAAGTGGCAGCTTACTGTACCAAAAGTTGGCATTTAAGAAATATGACAAGTCCTTATTGAACGACCTACTGTGTGCTAGATGCTGTGCTAAACCCTTGAGCCCTCCTAACACCTTGCCTGCACTTCTGTGACTGTTCTACAAGTAAATATATAAGTATTAACATACGTGATAAATAAAAATTCTCTGCATGTCTCAGCGATCCCTGTATCTTGCGTCTGTCTTCTGTCTTTTGTCTGTCTTTTCCCACAAAAGCACAAAGATGAGATGTAGGGCTGAACGGGGAGGGGGCCACTCTGTCCTAAAGTACTTCCAGCCCAGCTCCAGTGTGTTCAGTCTATCCGAATTCTAGCTATTGATCTATATTTTGGCTTTGTTTAGCAGTTTAGAGACATATTAGGACTTCTCTCTAAATTTTACAATCTGCAATTCATTAAGTGACAGTAAATACAATAACCCTGCCAGCCCCCAGGATAATATCTCCATCTACAGAGTAATTGCTTCAATGGAAGAATTTTCTGTTTTAGTATTCCACACCCGATTTAGGTTTTAGATTTCTATTTTAGCTGTTTTAAACTTGATATACTCCCACACCTATTCACATACGTAGATGAATCTGAACACGTTCTCAAAATATCTGTATTTAAGACTGGAAGTTTTCCAATTACACTACTACTACTTAGACCAAAATATCAAACCGAGTGAAAGAACCTTGTTTCTGGAAATACTTTTCTCTTGTTGTACATACAGTTGCGTATTTAATACCCGGACGTACCTAATTTTAACTGTGGTGGAGCCTTAAAGTCAGAGGTTAAATGCGCATGGAGCCTGTTTTTAATGAATGGGAACAGATGCGTCTTGTGGGTTTTGGGTAAAATTGAATTCACGAGTGAACATCAGGAGCACACACGCGTCCTTTTAAGTTTTCACACCTGAATAACTGAGCTTAGACTATTCCACTCAAGTCTGGCTGTGGGTCCCAATTCCAGAAATGAGCAGCTCTGCACGTGCAAAGCAGGAAATTCCCACAGCAGGCTTAGGACTCGCAGTCCCTTTAAATATAGGGCGGTTGCATTAAGAGTCCGGGGGGCCAGCGCCAGACCCTAGGTTGGGGCACCAATTGTCTACTGGTGTTCAGTACGCCCTTCACCCTCCTAAATTGCTGGCTCGCAGCCCCTTTTGTTTTTAAATGGCCATGAGGGGGATCTGGGTACCACCTGTCATTCCCCCCACCAAATGTTTGCCCTCAATTAGTGATAACAGCACCTCTAAAGCAGTTCATTATTTGATACTAAAGGAGCAGTGTCCCCAAGGCTGGTGTGACAGAAAGGGGCTGGCCCTGGAAAAGCATGAAAGAAGGTCATTCAGAAAACGAGGGCCCACCCCTCAGATCTGCCTATATTTATTTTGAAAGAATAAAATGCTCAGGAAATAGTAGCTATTATAATTATTTGAAAAGGAAGAGACTGGGTTCTCTGGGGGATGGGGCTGTTGGCCGCCAAGCCCGTGCCCCACCCAGGTCTGCTTGCCACCCCACCCCTCTAACCACCTTGGTAACCCTGCTTTGTGTGTCCCCTGCACTGACCTGTCATGTCTGCTCCTGAGGGATCATGTGTTCACCTTCTATCTCCACCCCATGACTCCTGGTGAATCAACCAAGTGAATGCTTCAAAAATTGAGAATCTCAAGAGATTTTTAAATAATTACACAGAACAAGAAAAAGATGAGCTCAGTGCTTTCCACCTGTGGCATGTTGTCCCTCTCAGCCTCAGTTTCCCCCTCTGTGAGAGTAGCACCTTCATTCCGTGTGCAGTGCTGTCACGTCCCAGGACCTAGTGCACAGTAGGTGGGTCACGCATGCTGGTCCCATTGCCCTACTCAAAAACAGAGGCCCGGTGGGGGCAGTAGATGTGGCAGGATTTATACCTGGAGCAAGAGGTCCATCCTTACCCCCTAAAAACACAAACTCTGAGCCTTCCATGGCTATGCCTCTAATGAAGGACAGTTTCAAAAAGACACAGCACTTTGATATGATCAGGTGCAAACATCCCATCAGGAGCCCAGAAACCAAAGGATGTGACTTGTACTTGTCCCAGCAACTCTGAATATAGATTATTCTCCACAGACCATTCTGTGTGTCTGAGTTCAGACCGTTATAAAGCACCTGAACCTCTAACCTCTGCCATGTAACCCTGAACATGTAAGTCCCAAACCATAAAGACTTCTGGAGGCAGAATCCTACCTTACGGCTCTTCATGTTGAGGGATTAGTGTGTGTCAGCATTCAGCTGTTAAGGTGCTGCTGGCTACAGTGACACTATTTAAATAAGGGAACAGGTAGAGCTACAAAGCCCTTAAATTTGTAATTAACACCTGCATATCCTAATCTAGTGGCCAAGGAAACCCTAAATCAAACCAGTTAAACTCCTTCCCAATCTCACATGGACCACCGTTCCCCCCACCCCCTCCTGACAACACACAGACACAGGGATGCTGGTGAGGGCCAGGAGGGACATTTTAGGAGGTGAGGGTGTGCACTGGGAGCTTCAGGACAATGGAAACACATCTGAAATAATAAATGACCCAGGTCTGACTTTGGTACAGTAGCCTTGACCATTATCTCGATGCCAGTTTGCTGGTCTGCCCCGATTGGGCCTGACCTCGAGTCACATTTGGGAGGTTATAATTTGAAACCACCTTTACTCACAAACCTACAATCTGCACAGATCTGAACCCGCAACTCTTTCAAGAACAGAATACTATGCTTTCCCAGGGACTGTCTTAAGTAAAGTGACAATGTTAGTCAGCATGATGCAATATGATTTCTTTTTTCTTTTCAATCCCACTGTAGTGAGAAGGCCACCAAAGTGCAGGACATCAAAAACAACCTGAAGGAGGCCATCGAAGTATGTGCTTGGGTCCCTTCTGTCATTCTTCTAGCCTCCCTTTCAGACAGCCCTGTGCCCCTGACCTCTTTGCTGACTCATTTTCAGACCATTGTGGCCGCCATGAGCAACCTGGTGCCCCCCGTGGAGCTGGCCAACCCTGAGAACCAGTTCAGAGTGGACTACATTCTGAGCGTGATGAACGTGCCCGACTTCGACTTCCCTCCTGTAAGCTACGCCTTTGCCTCGAGTAGCCTCGGTCCCTCCCCTGCACAGCAGACCGGGGTGAGCGGTGGGCCGGGCTCTGCCCACCCGCCACCTTCACATCCAGGAACGGGCGTGATTTCCGCACACGGGCACACATACCTGAGTGGAAGCCACCCTTCTGGCAAAACACATTTTAGTGATAGTGATTCTGAGGAAAAAGATAACTCCATAAGCATCTTTAATGTTTAAAAAAATAAGAGCTGACAATCGGTAGAGCTTTGCTCAAGGTAGATGAGCAAAATTCTGTCACCTTTGTAAATCTTGGCTCATCCATCCCCGCAAGTAAACATCACACTTCGATACTACAATTCTCACTTTATTAGATTGTAAATTTTTATGAGGGAAAAAGTCGAGTTGTGGCAGCCTTAATTCCCTCATACACATCTCGTGACAGACAGCACTGTATGTTAAATATGGCAGACAAATGCTAATTGTCCAGTTAAATGAAAGTACCTGAGATATCAAGGGATGCAGGGATGAAGTGCCAGCTCTGAGTTTTATAAGCGAAAGACATTCTCATTTTAAATAATTTGCCACTTATCTTTTATTAAAGTTTTTTCGAAAATCAGCCCCTTGCCTTGGGGCAAATGAAATCTTTTCCCATTATTAATTAAAAAAAAGAAAGAAAGAAAAGACTTTCCACTAAATTATAATGCAAAGAATTTTCTTCCATGCACCCTGCTTGGTGTGCATGACACTGTTTACGAAGCTGTCTGCTCCATAAAGAACTATTTTTAGGTAACAGACCTGCCCATGCACAGGTGTATACAGTTTGACCCTTTTGTGAGGGAAGAATAGTTGAGAGGAGGGTAACGGGAAACAAGATGGGAAGATCTGTGAGTTTATAAGGCCCAGAAGGAAAAGACTGTCTACAGTTAAAACAATGAGTTATTGTTGCCTTTTGTCAGGCTTTCGTGGGAATTTGTGTTTGTGTATTTTAAGTGGGTTTGGCTGCAAACTTACCCTAGTGGGGAAACAGTATTAATAAGTATGGCTAGGTCAATTTTTCTACATAACATTTGTTTTGAAAAGAAAAAAGATTCATGAAACAGTAAACACAATATCCATAATGCAATACACAGGCTTTTTCGTGAGATGTGATTCTGTATTTCTAACAGGAGAAGAAAACCTGACAGCCTATTAAAAATGCACCAGAGCAGTAACCTTTTATCAGTCCACCTGACAGCTGGACTTTATGTTCCTACAGACTTTTTGATCCTTCTGCTGAATTGGCAGTGGAGAGAGCCTTTTCTTTCCTTGTAAGGGAAGACTCCCCCCATACAATTAAAAAAGTGTTTTTATGCTCAAATGAAATGTAAACCATAACCTGCAGTCTGAAACAACTCCGAGGTTATTTGTGCCTTTGTTTCTTCCGACGATGACCCCTCCCCACAGGACAGCCACGGGCAAGGCCAGATTTGCCAGCAGTTCCCAACTAAGAATATTTTTGGGTGAAATTCTTAAACAGCACTTCTTACAAATGGAATTTCTTGTTTTCACAACACTGAATCACTTATTAGCATATTTTCCTAATGCATATTAACATATATTCTAACCAGATAAGCAATTGTGTGAAGAAACAAAATGACTCAGGAGTTTACCTCTGCAGAGCACCCCCACCCCCCAAAAAAGAAATACAGGAGGAAAACCACCCAAGACCAGTAATTCACAGTAAGAGCAGCACGAGTTAATTCAACTTTGGAATATGTTTAACACGTTTACTGAAAGGTCTTTATGGGTGCTAATTCCTTAATTTGCTCTCAATCGGGAATCACAGCAAGTGTGGGTCGTGCAGTGAACTATGGTCTCACTTACAATGACAGTGTCCTCGTCTTGGTGCACGCTCACGTCTTTAGACATTCTCGTGTTCACTTTCAGGAATTCTACGAGCACGCCAAGGCTCTGTGGGAGGACGAAGGTGTGCGCGCCTGCTATGAGCGCTCCAATGAATACCAGCTGATCGACTGCGCTCAGTAGTAAGTACCTCCCTCTTACACCAGCACACGAAATAGGCACAGATGGAGAAGATATCAGAAGCCTCAAGTCTCCCTTTTAAAGTTATTTGCAAATGAGTTTTGTTCATTAAAACCAACCAGTTACCCCACCTGTAGCCAGAAAGCTCTAGTCTGATTCATTTGTTTTATTAAGCCCTTAACTGCCCTTTTTAGTGCAGTGACGTTATTTTATATAAACAGTTAATGCATGTTAGAGCAAAACAGTAATCGTTTACAATAAAGTGATGTTTGTAATTAATTAGCTTGGAAAAATTAACTGGATTGACCACCAAGCATTTAGGGAAATAGGGTAGCCCTTACACTTTGGATAATATAAAAATATTATATTGTTATCGCTGTAATCTGAAAACAGAAAGTACAGTAAGAACAAAAATATACCTCCTCCTGCCTGGTAGCTAACGATTGCTTTGGTGTTTCTGGTCAGGTGAGTGACGGCCCTAAAGCCCAGCGTCACTAGATAAAGTCCATCAAGAGGTGGATTGGTGTTGGATTCGGCTCCCCAGCCTTATTTACGCACTTAAACTGGTCCTGAACTGCAGGATGCTTCCCCCATGGGGTCCTCGCCTTGCCCCTCCATAGGCTCTCCTCCAGGGCTCACATGGTGACATGTCTGGAAAGCTGCTTTCAGAGAGTTCATGGCTGCTCTCCTCTTATACGTGTACAGCAAAGATACAATGGTCAGAGCCGTAAAAATTTTAAAGATACCCTGTGTTCGCCCGTGTTGTACGAGTGCACTAATGGGTCTCAGTTATAATATTCTGAAGTGGGAGGATCTTCCATGACTAGGGTGTGGGGGAGAGGAGATATTTGTGATGTTTCAGCCTTTTATGTAAGTATGTGAAACTCAGAAAGTATTTTACTATAGAAAGTATTACATATTCCGGACCAGGGTACCAGACTGGCTCACGTAAAGTTAACAGAGTGCTGTGCAGGAGCCCCAAGCCTAAGGAATTTGTTGTGAAAACCAGTTGAATAAATAGGAGGGAGGAAGAAGTAACAGCCATCAAACAGCAAACAAAAAGCGAGTTCCCTGCAGTCCTGTTACCTGTAAATCACATAAGCTTGTGTGAGGGTCTGTGAAGTCTATCAGTGCACCTTTCCCCAGCCCTGCTTTCCCATAGGAAGTACATATTTGATTATTTCCAATTCTCACATATGTAGTTATGTCACAGTTTAATATACAAGCACATTTGTATATTTTCTCAAGGAACAGAAAAACAGTCCATCCTGGCCAGTCCCCGTGACCCCGTGCCCCTACCCCGACTTCAACAAAGTCCCTGATTTTCTCAAAAGTTTGAACTAAAAGCTGGAAGTGCTAATTATAGTAACTCAAAACAAATGGAAATCCTGGAATTGTTTGCGTTCTGTATTTGGGATCCGAGCCAGAAGTACAGGTACGGGACCAGGAGGGCTTAGCCGGGTGATTTTGAGCGCCCTGGAAGCGGGGGAGGGTGTAACAACTTCATTAATACTAGTTTAGCCAAGTCTTTCTTTTTTTTTTTTTCTTAAATCTCACACCATTTAAAAGTTGTTTTTAGAACATTAAGTTACTCCTGCCACTTTATCTGAAAACGGCAACATTTGCACAGTTTACAGGAAGTTCTAAGGAAACTCAGAGAAAAAGAACAACATAGCTTAAAACTTTTAAAATGTCTTCCTGAGTCGGATGATTAAAACAGCCCCGCATTTGCTCCGGCCAGTCTGTTTCTGGTTTAACTGCCTTTATGTTAAAGTCGGGATACTGGTACCTTGCCCATTCCTTAAGCAGCCTATTTTTATTTGTCAAGCTGGGGTTTGGCTGGCCCCACTCCAGATGTCTCTCTCACAAGATTTGGTGATGATCTATTTATAGAACTGTGGTTCTGTTGCCATGGCAACCTGCTGGAGGCCAGGGCGGCTGGGGAGCTATTTCTGGACTGGTGCTGTAATGTAAGACTGATTGGGCAAGTTCGTATATCCTCTAAGCCAGACTAACTCTAAACTCGTAAAAAGGAAAGGGGAACAAAACTTACAGAATTTCTTGAAGTAGGCTTTTCCCCTTTGTGATTTTCTCTTCTGATCAGCCCAATTCACAACAGTTACAACTGCCCCCACCCCCACCCCACCGCACCACCATGGTTTTAACGTTCATTTTCTGTATTAATTTGGCCTATCTTTCAGAAGTTCTTTTTCCTAATGGTGCAGAGCAACCATAAGCAAGAGACTTTCTGCTTTGGGAAAAGTTATGGCCGTGGAGAAGGAGGTGGAGCGCCTGCTTCTCCGTGTGAAGCTTTTTATCATTGAGGACAATCTCTAGGACCCTGAGCCCCTCTCTGTGCCATGTCCCTGCCATATAAAGGACCCAGGACCTGGGTGACCGTAGGGTTTTCTCAAAATTCAAAGTCTAATATCGGGAGTGTCCTATTACGCGGACCAAACGGACCAGAAGGGAACTTGGTGTTTGTTTCCGACTCAGTGTGGTTAGGGCAAAAAGGGCCCCTTTGTGTCAGCCTCTTTTGTTCTCTTTCATAAGTGAGATTCTTAAAAAGTAGACGGAAGGAATACCCATTCTGAGTAACTCAGTCTCACTTCATTAGTCCCTTGGGGGGAAAATCCTTTAGGAGTGACATTTTACATTTTTTTTTAAAGTGGAATGACATGGAAGTGTACAATTTTAAACTACTTGCCACTTTCATTAAAGCCAAGCAATTTGAAATTTTTAAATTATTTACTCTCTCACTATCAAATGGTGTAGAATCTGAGAGGCCTGTTTTTGGAGCCTGCTGGTTGGTATGCACAGAATCAGCCTTCTAAAATCTCAGGAGTCTCAGGTGATCAGCAATAACTCTGAACACCCCGTGTGCCTATCTTTTTCCTCCCAGCTTCCTGGACAAGATTGATGTCATCAAGCAGGCTGACTATGTGCCCAGCGACCAGGTAGGCAAAAGTTCTCACAGCAAGGACTGGGAGCCCCTCTTTCCGTGCTAGTCAACATTTTTGCCCCCCATCGGTGATTATTAATGTTCCGATTGGTTTGGGGGAGACCCACTGACCCTGGTTTTGTTTTAGGATCTGCTCCGCTGCCGTGTCCTGACTTCTGGGATCTTTGAAACCAAGTTCCAGGTGGACAAAGTCAACTTCCAGTAAGTGAATGGCCCCCTTTCTAAAGAGCAGAGGCAGTGGTGTCTGGATGCGGGGGCGCAGGGGGCCCGTGTGCGCCCCCTGGTGCGAGCAGACATCCTTTCTGTCCGGCAGCATGTTTGACGTGGGTGGCCAGCGCGATGAACGCCGCAAATGGATCCAGTGCTTCAACGGTATGGAAGCTGGGGGGCCTCGGTGCACTTCAGGGACATGTTACTGATGTTACTGTAGTGATCTGAAGAACCGTACTCACTGCTAATGTGACTCGCTTTTGCTTTCTCGTGCTGAAGACGTGACTGCCATCATCTTCGTGGTGGCCAGCAGCAGCTACAACATGGTCATTCGGGAGGACAACCAGACCAACCGCCTGCAGGAGGCTCTGAACCTCTTCAAGAGCATCTGGAACAACAGGTCTGTCAGGGGCCCCCTGTTCCCCTGACTGCCCCCCAGGAGCCCCGTTCCTGACCTTGAGCCCTGTATTTGCACTGTTCTAGAAAAGAATCATAAACAAGGCTTTCTCCTCCTCGTGTTTAACCCGCTTCTGTCTGTTAGATGGCTGCGCACCATCTCTGTGATTCTGTTCCTCAACAAGCAAGACCTGCTCGCTGAGAAAGTCCTTGCTGGAAAATCGAAAATTGAGGACTACTTTCCAGAATTTGCTCGCTACACTACTCCTGAGGATGGTACGTAGGGTCTGGTTGGAGGGCACCCACTCAGCTCATTGGTCCTACACAGTCATGCACATGTTAAAAGTTTGCGTTCTTGGCGGTTGTTCATTTAGCTGGATCTTTATGAACAGCCTCCAGGCATGGAAGTCTCCCCCCCTTCCACCACCAAAACTATACAGGACTTGCAGGGAAAGCAAGAAAAACTTATTTCTACTCCATCTGCATTTGGAGAAATCCAGGAAATCCAGGCAGGGGCTGCAATGATGCTCTGCTCTGACCTTTTAATTACCTTAAGTTACAAAATATTTATCTTCTTTGTAGCCACTCCCGAGCCCGGAGAGGACCCACGCGTGACCCGGGCCAAGTACTTCATCCGCGATGAGTTTCTGGTGAGTACAGACCTTTTTTACTTATCTCCCTAATCTTAGGGGCGTACATTCACTTCATTCTAATTCTGGGGGTTAAGGGATCCAGTTCTTTGGTTTTATTTCCCTAACAGCCAGTGTGAATTTTAGGTTTGTGCCCCTTTACTTGGTTTGGTTTTAACAAAAAGCTAATAGCTGGTCAACAGTCTTTGGTAGATGTCCTTGTTGGTGAGAGGGGAGAGGATGATTCAGGACGGGTGGCACTGAGCATGTGTGTTCCCTTATGTTTGTGCCACAGAGAATCAGCACTGCTAGTGGGGATGGACGTCACTACTGCTACCCTCACTTCACCTGCGCTGTGGACACCGAGAACATCCGCCGTGTGTTCAACGACTGCCGTGACATCATCCAACGCATGCACCTCCGTCAGTACGAGCTGCTCTAAGAAGGGAGCGCCCAAATTTAATTAAGCCTTAAGCACAATTAATTAAAAGTGAAACGTGATTGTACACGCGGTTAATCACCCACCATAGGGCATGGTTAACAAAGCAACCTTTCCTTTCCCCCCCAAAGTGATTTTGCGAAACCCCTTTTGCCTACAGCTTGCTTAAATATTCCAAATTTAGAAAGCTTAAGGCGGCCTACAGAAAAAGAAGAGAAAAATAAAAAGGCCACAAGAGTTCCCTCTATCTTTCAGTAAAAAAATAACAGCAGCAAAAAGAAATAAAGAAATACAAGAAATAAATGAAAAAAGTGAGATAAATATTGTCTTGTGCAGCATTAAAAAAATCAAAATAAAAATTAAATGTGAGCAAAGTATGACTCCTGTGAATTACTTGCGGCATCGAGCAGATACCTGTCCATGGCTTTGACTTGCATTAAGAGCTGGGAAGCCCTACGTTTAGGTGACAAGGTCCTGTGGTTATCAGTGGGTGTAAAATCTGGCCACTATCTGATGTTGTTGATCTAATCTTTGGGTTTCTGAAACAATCGTAGACCATATGAAAAGTCCACTCCTGTCCTAAATCCATGACCTCTAGAAAAGTCAGGCACCTTCAAAGCAGCCCCTACACTTCCTCCGTTGCTTCCCTATCCAGAGACTCTACCATCTGCACCCTTTTAAGTCATCACACAGTTCGCCTGATTACCTAGAGGCCCCCCAGAATAGTTAGGATTTTAGAATCTCTGTCCGGCTTTAAGAAATGGGCTCAGCGATGTGGGGGACATCCAGGAATATAGTGTTCCAACCTGAGGGGAAGTAGGGTTATTCAAAAGCTGAGGTGTGTATCCATGTGCATGTATATCAGCACAATGTACACTTTAAATATCTTACACTTTAGTTAATACCTCAGGGCACAAGGGAACAAGAGCTATCAAAACTAAAAATTGTGCTGAAACAACCAGATAGCCATTTTAGGAAAACTTAAAGCTGAACCCCTACTTCATTCTGTACACAAATGAGTTCCAAGTAGATCTCATGGTTAAACATAAAAAGTACTTTTAAAAATGGCTATTTTTACAATTAAAATCATGATTTATGAAGACCTCTCAAAGGATGACCTAAGATCCAAAAGCCAGAAGGGCGGGAGGTGGGAGAAGAAGGGAATTTTAAAAAAATTAAAATCAAATGAAAATATGCACAGGTGGGGGGACTGGGTAAAAATTTAACAAAAGGCTTATATCCCTAATAAAGAGCTCTTCAGAATTAATCCATCACAAAAATGGGCAAAGTACATGAACATGCAATTTAAAAAAAGATTCAAATATCATTGGGGAAAACGTACAAATAAACTTACCACCACTGGTGGGGGTGGGGGGGGGGTGGGCAGTGGCCTCCAGCACTCATGGGCCCCACACCAAACTCCACGAGGCTGTGGTGTGTTGTGGCTTGGCCTCAGGTCCATGGGCTCTCTAGTCCTTCACCCCCAGGCTCACACCTGAAGCTGGGTGGCACCCCTGGTGTGGCTTCCTGCACAGGAGAGGAAGAGGCCAGCTTTTCCCCCAGCACCGACCATGTGCCCTCTGATACCAGCCAAAAAGGACATGAAGTTGATTCTGTAATTCAGACCAAAAATCCACTTCCTGTTCTATTTTCCAAATTAAATTAGTCCCAGCCAAATTATTCTTCAAGCATAGTTTAGCAGAGGTGAGCAAAATAGGCCCAAGGATGGCAGAAAAAGCAGATGGCCCCCCCTATGAAGCTTCCCAGAGCTTCCTGTGTGATGTTCAGTCCACATGAAAATGTGTGCATGCCATGCAGATTTAGTTACAAAACAACTAGCAAAAGTGCCCCCAAATTAACAATCTACATAAATGCTGATTATGCACATACAGCCAGAAGACCAGCCCACAGATTCCATAAGCCCCCAAAGTTCCCCAAATAAAGACAACTAGCTCAAACCCAGTACCAGCTATCAAGGGAAATCACGAGGCCCGTCCGCCGTACCGACGCCCATCCAAGCAAAGGCTGGACCAACAGAAAACAATGGCTCAGCATAGGTCCCTTAGCCCCTCTTAAAGATGGCTGGCTGTACACCCCTCCTATGTAGAAATTCTGGAACCTTCTCTGCCACATAAGATTGCCACATCACTAGCCACATATCCAAACTTAGAAAACAAATTTCCAGGCCATAGAGCAGTTATACAAAGAAAATATCACTCCAGAGCCTCCCCCTTGCTGGTCAAACCTGGTAGAGCCTTTGTGATAACTTCTAAAAGGAGGGTAATAAAAATCAGAGTTATTCAGCACCTACTGTGTGCCAACCATGGCCCAGCAACAAAGGTTTGGCTGTTAATACCATTTTACCAAGGTCAAGGGAGACCTACAGAGGTCAAGGTAACTGGCTCCAAGAGATGTGACCAGTGAACAAAAACGGGCTTTAAATTTGGAGTCAAGCCTCTGCTTGACTATGACATGATCCTGTCCTTTGGGAAGGTACAGAAAAAGGAAGAGGTCTCCTGGCGTTCCTTCCAGGGTGCCAGTTGTCAGGAGGCCATGACCTGGGACCCCAGGGGGACGTCCACCAGGTGCCCCAGCTCATGATGGAGTGGGTGGGTAGGTGACAGAGTTGGGCTGGGGGTTCACATTCCCTCGGACACAGGTGCTGGACATACACCTGCTTCCTGCCAGTTCAGGGGTTTGCGGCGGAGCCACCTCCAGTCATTCAAGTGTGTTTAAGACCCCTTCTCTTCCTTAGGACTCATCCCTTCTATTTAAAACATTTTTGTTTCCATTTTCCCTCTGACCTGATACCAAACCTAACTTTTAGAGGCCTACTTTAAAATCTAAATTCTAGGATCTTTAGGAAGCCAAAAAATTATGAAGAATTTCGTCTAAATCTTTGACTACGAGATGCCATCAGCTTTAAATTTTTTTAGCTGAATTTTACATCTCTATTCAAATGCAAAACAATGTATTTTCTAAAGGTAGCAATTTGTGCCGCACTTTATAAAGGTTTATAGGCCAAATATTATAAATAAATATTATTTGACCTTTGAGAGATTGAAAAAAATAATAATAAACCATTAAGCCTCTGCCCCAATGAGGCCTAGTATAAAGAGGGTCTATCTAGAATTGGGAAGAATTTTTATCTTCCTTCACTTTTATTTAAATTTGTGCAAAACTATACCACAAGAAATGTCTTCTGTAAAGCTCTTCTGTGTCAAAGGGCATTCTTTCATCATAATAGTTTCTTAGACATTTTTGACCATCTTTTTATTTGACAAATGTATAAAGAGTATGGGATCTATGTCAGCTACTGGGAATAAAGACATTGACAAGGTCTCTGAGTTAATAAACAGAATGGGAGGGAATCCACTTTAGAATAGACTGGGAGGGTATCTCTTAGAGAAGGTGACTTACGGGAATGCAAATGATGAGAAGGAGCTAACCATCTAAGTACAAGTAGCTAACATCACTATTTTTGATTAATACTATTACATTATAATTAATATTTATAATGTAATACCATGGAGTATTTTACCATGTGATGTGTACTGTCCTAAGCCCTTTATATGGATTATCTCATTTAATCTTTTTAAAACCCTATGAGGAGATAACCCTATCATCTGGGCAAGATGTACCCAATCTGTATCCCATTGTACAAAAATGAAAAAGGCAAAATCATACTTAAACCACTGTGAATAATTATGCAAATCATGCTTTTAACAATGGTGCCACTCAAAAGGCCATTGCGATAAGGTTAACTGCTGTACAGGTTCCTATTTGAGAGTTGGGGGATTTGGTGCCCCTATGATAACCGTCCCGTGTTTAAGTATTCATATACTATGAACAACTAAACTTTTCTGGTTTTGCCTATCTTATTCTTTGTATCAGTTAGGACTGTGTTCAGCTGCATACAACAGCACCCTTAGAGTGGCACAAACAAATGAGGTTTATATCTCACTTACGAAGAGTCTGGAGACAGGTGATTCCTGGGGTTATTTTAGCAGCTCATCAAGGCAGGGCTAGGCCCTCCGCAGTTCCCTTGGCTTCTCCTCCATGGTTGCAGGATGGTATCACAGTGTAGCCCAAGGCGGAAAGGAGAGAAAACGGAGAGCCCAGCCAACTTTCTCCTTTATCATGAATTCAAATGCTTTGTAGCTGCTCTTCTCTCCACCGTGAGAAATACATGAGGTGCCTAGATAGCAAGATCAATAGTTAGACAGCTAGATAAACCACTACTAGGCAGACAGCTAAATAGACAAAAGTGTCTGTTCAATAACACTATTACACACACACACACACAGAGGATTTGTAATTTTCTGTTGCATGGACCTTGATGGAACATCCAGAAAGATACATTCAGTGCCTTGTAGCTTTTAAGGAATAGGGAAGGTAACAGGTAAAAAACTTTCAAATCATAAGAGACTAATTTGCATAATTCTGTGTAAATCCATTTGCAAGCCTAGATGAAATAATTGCCCAGGAAAACATTGTTTATCAAAACTGACCCCAGTGGAGACAGAATAGTCTAGGCACACTAGCTACCAGAAGGACAAACTACAGAGCCTAGTCAGAGAGCCTCACGACAAATGGTCCCAAGCTTCTGTGGGAGCAGGAAGCTGGTGGTGGGATGGGAATGTGAGGGAAGCTTATGGGTGCTTGTGTCTGTTTCTTGACCTAAATGCTCCTTAAACAAATACACTGCATTCGAGAGAAGTCTTTGAACTGTACACCCATGATTTTGCAGTTTTCAGTACGTTTATTATAATCAGAAAATATTTTAAGGAGGAAAAGGGAAAAAATCATGAGACACCCCCGCCCACGTGGTTTTACAGGGAATTCTACTGAACCTTTTTAGGTCAAATAATTCCAATATTACTTAAATTAGTCTATAGTATAAGCACAGGAAAACGTCAAAATTATTTTTGTAAAATATGAATAACATTGATTCTAAAACCTGCTAAAGATCATTATATTTAATATAAAGATCATTATATCTAAAGGTAAAATTAGAGACCACTTGTGAATAGCAATGTGAAATTCTTGAAATATAAGCAAACAGAATCCAATATTAAATTTTAAGACTAATACATCATGCCTAGGTAAGATTTAGTCTGAATTCAAGGTTAGTTGAATATTAGCAAAATAGTAATTTTTTCCAAATACCCATTTATATTTTTAGAAACCCAATAAAGGAGTAATTAATGGATGGTTTCTTAATATATGACTATATAGATATATATATATAACATACATCTATATAAAATATATGCAGTATAGTGCATATATATGTATATATATAAAATAT